GAGTGTGATGTGCACCTCTGGGGGAATGGACACACTTGAAGCTCGGACTTGGGGGGGAGGGAGGGTAAGGGCATCATACGTAACCTAATCATCTGTACCCCCATAACATGCTGAAATAAAAAAAAAGAAAAAAAAGAAAAAAAATGCCCCAGTGTTGAATGTGTTCTTGATTGTGTATGATTGATTTTGGTCTTTAGCCCAACCTAATAGCAGCCACATATAGTTCGTTTTTAAATTTTCCCTTAACCTTTTTTTTATCATGGTAAAATATACATAACATAAAATTTGCCATTTTAATCATTTTTAAGGGTACAAAGTCATTGAGTACATTCACATTGTTGAGCCGCCATCACCACTATATTTCCAGAACTTCTTGTCTTCCCAACTGAAACTCTGTACCCATTAGACAATAACTCCCTAGTCCTCCCTTAATCTTGATCAAAAGATTTAACTGTTAGTAAGTAGCTGAATCGATTAGAAAGGATATTCTGTGTGTCTTCTCACAAATTACAAGAGTAACATATGTGTGTGTTCAAACAACATAAACATACAAGCAGTGAAAAGTGAAAGGTCCCCATGCTCTGGAGATAACCAGTGGTAGATCTGGTGTGTCCTCTTCCAAACGTAAGAAAGTGTGTTCCTCAGAGGAGCGACTGAAGATGACCCGTCAGCGTCACTGAAAGAGCGGTAGGACGCGGGCTGCGCCCATGGGACGGGGATGCCTTGTTCTCGCCCCGAAACTTGCTTTCTGTCAAGGTCACTTACAGCCTACTGCCTGTGACTTCTTTGAAGGAGAGGGCTTTGTAGCTCATTGTTTTTATCTCTTGATCCTCGGGGACAGTTAATGTAAATAATGTAAATTCAAGATTGAAAGGGCTGTAGTTCGGTGGGTATTCCTTCAGTAGTGAGATTTCCTTTTGACTCAATTTCAGCCCAAATTGTTTTTTCGGATAAAAAATAAAAATGAAGGCACCTGTAGATAGGTTGGGGTGAGGAATTTATAGAAATAAGCATGGTTCTTTATAGGGGTAGTATACTTTTTTTTGAGACAGAGTCTCACTCTGTCACCTGGGCTAGAGTACAGTGGCATCAGCCTATCTCACAGCAAACTCAAACTCCTGGGCTCAAGCATTTCTCCTGCCTCAGCCTCCCGAGTAGCTGGGACTACAGACACACACTACCACACCCGATTAATGTTATACATTTCTTGACCACATGTTTTCTCAGGGTTTTTGTGAAACCCTGGGAGAACACATGCTCAGTAAGTGCATTCCACATATGCACTATCACTTATCTTGAAAAGTGAAAACTGTTTCTAGACCTAAAATTTGTGAATGCCAAATCCCATTAACAGGACTTTATTCAGTCCAGGCACTGTGTTTAAGGTGGCCTTTAAGAAAGGCACCTGGTTTCAGTTTATGCAAGTAGAAACAATCCATCTACCTTGGACGATGTGCTAAACCTCCTGACTTTTTTAGTAACCTCAGACTCACCAAGAAGCATTCACACTGACTTAGAAATTCATTTAAAAAAGATTTAGACAGACTTTGTTATCTCTGGGAGTGTTTTTGCGCAAACCCTTTTGTCTTTTTTTTTGTTCTTGTTTGCCTTTTAGAGAAACCAGTTTCTGCGTTTTCTCCCTGTCCCTGTCTCTGCCTGCCTTCACCTCTGCAAGACCTCCTTCCCACTGAAGCTCTTCTCCGTGATGGGCTTATCTGTGACGCCTTCTCTGGTGGTGTTTTTCTGTGGGCTCCCCCACCTCTTCCTGTCTGTGTCACTTGTGTCATCTTTCACACTCCCTGGTGTCATCCTTATTTATTGCACATGTCTCGTCACCCCCGTTGGTTTGTAGCCCCTTGAGAGTTGACTCACAGGTTTCTGTTGGTCTGCAGGCTGGATCTGTTGAAGGTATAGAAAGGAAGCCAGCGTTGGCCTTGGATGTTTACCTAGTGTTAACTTTTTTCTAAACTCTTGTTTAGCTTTTCCTCCTATTTCTATTAGACTTTGCTAATGGCTAGAGCTCATCTATTTTAGGGGGAAAACTTAATTTAATCAAATGCTTCTTTTTCTCTTTAGCTCCAAAACCTTGGAATTAATCCAGCCAACATTGGATTCAGCACACTAACCATGGAATCTGACAAGTTCATATGTGTCCGAGAGAAGGTTGGTGAGCAGGCGCAGGTAGTGATCATTGACATGAGCGACCCAATGGCACCAGTGAGACGACCCATCTCTGCAGAGGGTGCCATCATGAATCCAGCCTCTAAGGTGATAGCTCTGAAAGGTAAACCTGATGGGATTGTCAGAAAGGAATTTTACCTCACTTTAATTGCTTTGTTACCTTACATATTAGACAAGTGTCATCAATAGTATCCAACTTAATTCTGAAAGTCTGGGCAAAAGCTATGTCTAGTGTATCCTAATAAGAGGCCCCTGAGCACCAGAGCTCCTTCGCAACCGTTAGGGTAGAAAGGCTAGTAGGTGCTCACGGCGCGGGTGGAGAAAGATTTCTCAGGCAGAGATTAAGATACAAAAGTAAAATTTATTTTATCCTTCTTAGAGGAGAGAGAGAAGGCAGGGGGAAGAGAGCAGAGAGGTGCGTGGCATCCCAAAGGAAGAGAAAGGTGCCAGCAGCAAGGCCAAGTGGCTCGCTGATTTTAAGGGGAACAAAGAGGAAAAAAATAGTGACAGCTGTCAGTTGATAACAAAAGCGGGAGCAGGTAGATAACAAAAACTACAAGGATGTTAAAGTCCAAGGCTTGGTTTCCTGCCTTTCCTTGGAGAAGGGATTATCCCAGGAGATGTGACTGTGTCCTCGATATGGTTGAGGCTTGGAGCTTGTTCTCTTGCTGTTTACTCAGGAATTCTGTAAAAGCAGATTCTCAAAAAAACAATTTTGAAGGAGAGAGATTTGTATCTCTTTTCCGTCCATTCGGCTCTTTCCAGAAGTTGTGCAAAACAGAACTCCTGCAGGGTACCTGTTTGTGAGAGAACTCAGGATTGATCTTTAACTGTTGCTGGGGAAATTGTATCTTCCTGTTATTTTTGCAAGGCCGTCCCTTTCATTAACATCACCCATAGTGCCAGACACACAGAGAGGAAGTGAATGCCCAGGACCTGGTCCTGATGTGTCTGGGAACGCGTGACAGCGCTGTGTGTGCATGTTCCCCGGGTGAGCTTTGTGGCCCCCTTGCCCAGGGCCTGCTGCGGTGGTGCTCCAGTCATCCTGGGACACAAGCCCAGAGGTTTTCCCCTCGTGAAACACATCAGTGAGAGGAGAGCTGTTAATAGAATTTCACTTCCGTGAACTCAGGGAACCTCAGGTGCTTGAAACCATCTAGCTACCTTAAGAAATATAAAATCTTTTCATAGTGCCTTGATTTGGGAAACAAAAGGATTATGTATATAGTGGACTTGTTAATGTTTTAAGTGAAATGCACTATCACTTACCTTGAAAAGTGAAAACTGTTCCTAGACCTAAAATTTGTGAATGCCCAATGTTAGCATTGACTAGGCTTCTGTTTTTTACAGAAATAGTGTCTACTTTATCATTTCAATAGGTAGAAGGACATCTGGAAGTTAAGACTTTTCTATTTATAAAGAAATAGCTGACATTCTTGTATTCAAAAGGCTCTTGTTCTGTTACCTACTCTACCTTTTCCCTTGCAATCCTGCCAAAGTATTTTTGTAACTATTTCGTAACTATTTTTGTAACAGTGTAAATGATTTTAATTTTAATTGAAAAATGCATTATAATGTATGGATTATTAAAGATTCTTTTCTATTTTTCTTACTTTGTTACTTACCCTTGGCTGTTTTTGATAGAATATTCACCTTGTAGTGTTGCTTTTTCTGCATTTTGTATTGTTGCAGTAATTTTAAGAGACTTTATCTAGCGTGTTGTTTGCTGTTTGATATTCTCAGCAGGTTTCAGAAATGACCTACATTTTATAGTCTTCCTGGTTCTCTAGACCAGTTCTCTTTAACACCGTGTGGTGTGGATCTCCCAGTGTGCGTGTGGGTGTGTGTTGGTAAGTGGTGGGGAGTAGAAAGAACACGGTGTTTAGATGTTAGCCCGATCCAGCCAGAGATTCCTGGGAACACACCTACAGTCGAACAAGGTGGGTTATTACTGGTTGCAGTGAGAGAGGACACACACCATGGGGACCTGGGGAGTGGCTCAGTAAGAGGGTGTTAGGAAGAACCTTTTATAGGGTTTGTGCTTTGGTTGGATGATTTGGAGGGTGGTCTAGGGGGGGAGGGGTTTGCTATAGATTGGATGCTGTCAGAAAGTGGGAGTGACTTTATTATTGGGTATCTCAATAAATCTTACCTATAAAGGAGGGAGGACTGGACTGAGGATAAAGCTGTAGTTGGTGAAGAGTTAGCAGTCACTCATTTTAGCTGAGAGAGGGATGTTGGTATTCTGTGGGTTGCACAGTAACCTTGTTTCTTCCGTGCTTAGACAGAATTCTGAAGCAGCCTGCTATCTAACTTTATCATGGTCTCTCTCAGAGGGCCCTTGCCTGAGGCTGGTGTTTTCCGAGAGGGTGTCTGTCCAGCCGGAGAGCAGCATGGCCTGACCGTGAATGCCGGGCTGCTTCTGGGATGGCAGGCGCTGCTCCTTTTGTTGTTTTTCTCAGTGTTCACATGATTCACTTCAACTGTAAGTGTTGTGTGCTGTTTTCTTTTATGTAGAGAAATGTGAGGCTCTGGCACCAAAGAGATATAATTTTAAGGCTTTATGCCATTTTTACTACAATCCTCTGGCCATAAGGATGATCTCGGATCCTTGTAGTACAAATCGTTGGCAAGTGGAGGATGTACGGTGTGTTTTAAAGGCCCTAGACCAAAAATGAGAAAAACTGCCTTCTGGAAAAAAAAAGCTAATTGAGTTGCAGATGAGCTCTGCGGAGTGCTTCTATCCCTTCACACTGTGATTGGCCCACAGGTGCCTGTGTGGAAACAGGGGTTGTGGGAGCCTCACCTGGTATCTCGGGATTCTTCCCATTCTGACTGGTGATGGCTCGTAATTGGAAAGGGCTCTTCATGAGCTGGACTTCCTTTTTAGAAAAGGTCTAGGTCTGCCTCTGCAGTCTGTCACCTGTCTGCCTGAGCTGCTCGGGTGCTCAGCCCGCGTCTGCTGCCAGAAACCTGGAGCAGACGCGCTTACCCTAGTCTCACTCAGACTTTTCCTGATGATGGATTTGTGGTGAATTCTTTAAAACCAGAGATTTTTGCCATTGACCAAAAGAGCATGAAGTGGTAGAGTTGCATCTGCTGCTTGTGCTTTTAAGGGAGCATCGATAGCTTAACTGAGCCTTTGGCAGACTGCCTGCTTCTTGTACAGCCCCTAAACTAAGAGTGGTTTTTATGAACAGTTGTAAAAACAAAGCAGACAAACATGGGACAGAGATTTCATATGTCCCCTTGTAGAAAAAGTTTGCAAACACCTTGCATTACTGGCCCCAGTACGATATTCCCATTTTTATTAGGAAACATTGCCCTTTGAGTACTTATATGTGTTTCTTTTTACAAGCTTTACCTTTTTCTCCATAATTTTTAGAAGTAGATTGAGTGTAGGCTAATCTAGAGCCAGCGCAGCCGAGCTCAGGGGAGGCGGGGAGAAACTGTGGCGGCACACTCCTCCCTTGACTACGTACTAATAAATCTGACTTTAAGTGGTTTGCAAAGGAGGTTGGTCCCTTTTTTTCTCTTTTTGTGCTGCTATGCCTCATATAACACCTGTTCTTTTAAACCAGGCTGAGGACAGCTTGAAAAATTTTCAAGCTAGAGGAAATTTTGTCTTGTGATTCAAGGCTATTTGAAATTAAAAGGTACTCCCATCCTGTAGTTGAACTTTTAGTTTAGTCTTTTTTTCCTTTTCCTGACTGTGTTGTTTGGGCATAATTTACATACCATGAAGTCACTCATTGTACATGTACAAGTCAATGATTTTTAGTGAATTTATAGAGTTGTGGAACCATCACCATGATCAAGTTTTAGAACATGCCCAGCACCCCAGAAAGTTCCCTCATGCCTGTTTCAACTGTCTCCTACCTCCAGCCCTAGGCAGCTACAGATCTGCCTTTTTCCTCATAAGATTTGCTTTCTCTAGACATTTCAAATAAATGGAATCATACCATGTATAGTCTTTTACATTTGGCTTCCCTTACTTAGGCAGTATTTTTGAGGTTCATCCATGTTGTATCATGTATCAGTAGTTCCTTTTTATTGTTGAACAGTATCCCATTGTATGTTGTTTCTCCATTCACCAGCTGATGGACATTTGGATTGTTTCCAGTTTGGGGCTATTAAGAATATTACTTCTGGCCAGGTGTGGTGGCTCATGCCTGAATCCCAGAGCTTTGGGAAGCCAAGGTGGGAGGATCGCTTGAGGCCAGGAGTTCAAGACCAGCCTGGGCAACATAACGAGACCCCATCTTTACAAAATATTTAAAAATTAGCAGAGCATGGTGGTGCCCATCTGTAGTCTCAGCTACTCAGGAGGCTGAGGAGGGAGGATCGCTAGAGCCTAGGTGTTCAAGGTTGCAATGAGATAAGATCGAACCGCTGGGCCATGCAACACCTATAATCCTAACACTCTGGGAGGCCAAGGTGAGAGGATTGCTTGAGCTCAGGAGTTGCGGACCAGCCTGAACAAGAGCAAGACTCTGTCTCTACAAAAATTAGAAAAATTAGCCGGGTATGGTAGTGCGTGCCTGTAGTCCCAGCTACTCAGGAGATTGAGGCAGGAGAATTACTTGAGCCCAGGAGTTTGAGGTTGCTGTGAGCTATATGATGATGCAACTGTACTCCATCCAGGATGACAGAGTGAGATTCTGTCTCAAAAGGAAAGAAAATTGCACTATTGTACTCCAACACGCAACAGAATGAGACTCTGCTGGGCGCAGTGGCTCACGCCAGTAATCCTACCATTCTGGGAGGCCAAGGTGGAAAGATTGGTTGATTGAGGTCAGGAGTTTGAGACTAGCCTGAGCAAGAGTGAGACCTCCCTCTCTACAAAAAATAGAAAAGTTAGCTGGGCATGGTTGTGCACACCTGTAGTCCCAGCTACTCGGAAGACTGAGGCAGGAGAATCACTTGAACCCAGGAGCATGGGGTTGCAGTGAGCTATGATGATGCCATGGCACTCTAGCCTGAGCAACAGAGTGAGACCCTGTCTTAAAAAAAAAAGAAAAAGAACAATACTGCTGCTTATGAACGCTTACCTACAAGTCTGTGTGGACATAATATTTTCATTTCTTTTGGGTGAAGTGGAAT